ATGTTAGATGAACTATACTTACGCATCCTCCACCAAGTGGAATTCTTACCTTTCAGGTCCTATGGGAAATTTATCTTCTCTCTTAAGTGCTCATGGGACTCTGCCTAGAATTCATCTTTGCAAAGGATTTCACTTTTCATGGAGTTTCTAAAGGGGAGTTTTCCAGGAAGTGGTAGAGGGAGCCAGGTCTTGAGTTCTGCCTTTTTCAGGGTTAGATAAAAACTCTACATGGGACACACCTCCATCCTGGTCCCTAGACTCAAAGCCTTCATTGTTTGCCATTTCTACTTAACACTGGGCCAAATTTGAAGTGACCCCAAATTGCTCCTGATGGCATGCTCTGTGGCTTCCTTCCCTCTCTTTCTCCCTCAGCTTGTTTCCCTTAGCTCCCAAGAGAGGGAAGTCTTCTATTTTACATCGGAAATTCCAATCCTTTGGATTAATGCGCTTCCCTATATCTCCACCTTCCTTCTCTCTCGTTGCTGGACTCTAAGAAGAGACCCTTGGAAGGGACAGAAATCAAAGACTTTCTGCTTCTCAAATATACCTTCTGCTCCTACCTCAGAAGGACAGGTGACCCCTGAATCCAACAGTAGGTGAGTGTGAGCAGTATTGATGCTATGGCATCAAGGTCAGAGATTTTAGCACCAATGACATGTTTGCCATGTAATAGACTCATCAAAAGATTAAGAACTAGAAGGGACTTTAGAGATCCTTGAATCCAGTCTGCTCATCTTACAGATAAGGAAACTGAGGTCCAGAGAAGCTAAATAACTTATTGAAGCTTTCATAAGGTACCAAATGGCAGAGCCAGGAATCAAACTCTGATCTTCTCAATCAAGAGCCACTTAAAAGTTGGAATTGGAGTATGGTTATGAATGAATGGAAAACGAACCAGCTAGTGATTATTGTTGTGGAAGCAGCACTGGATTTGGAACGAGTATCTGAATTTGAATCCTGATTTTGCTTCTTACTACCTTTTTGACCCTAGGGGGTTAAAAAAAACCATTTAACTGATTTGAGCTTCAGTTTTCCCCATCTTTAAAATGGGAGGTAATATTAGTCAAGGTGGTCTCTGGTCTCTCTCTAGTCTCATACGACAGATGAAAAAACTAATACCCCAGAAGAGGCTTCACAATATTATCTGCCTAATGATGGCTGAAATTTTAATAGTGTCTTATAAAGGGTACTTTTATGTATCATTTCATTTGATTGTCACAAGCACTATGAAGTAAGCAGGGCAGGCATTACTTTGACAGATGAAGAAACTGAGGCCCAGAGAGTATTAATGACCTTTCCAAAGTCGCAAAATTAATAAGTAGCTTAGTTAGGTTTTGAATCCAGATCTTTAGACTCCAAGTCCAATGACCTTTTTACTGACACACAATCCCTTACAATTGCCTAAAGTCATTGTGAAGAGTCATAGGCAGCTAGTAGGAGAACCAGGGAAAAAAACCCAATATCCTATTAGCTGCCAATTTGGGACAATTTTCAACAATGCCTCCATAAAGAGTCCTGGGGTCACTAGTTAGGTGAGATAGATTTCCCTCATTCTTTTCCCTATAGCTCTGTATCAAGTTCTTGGGCCAGAGGTATAGTGCAATGCAGATTAAGGCTGAAGGGCTTGCATGGAGAATAGACAAATAGAGCTATAGATCTCTACACATTCTAATCTTAGGGCTATCTCTTTGAGGATTGAGTGATGGTTCTTTTCTCTAACCAGTGTTGTACTGGTTAGCATAGCATTCAAAAATTGATGCCGTGTTATGGGAAAAAGAAAGACAGAGACAGAGATAGAGAGAGACAAAGAGGCATAGATAGAGACAGAGGCAGAAAAACAGAGAGAGACAGAGATACTCACACACACACACACACACAGAGACAGAGACAGAGAGAGACAGATAAAGAAGATAAGGGGTTTTTATATAGGATGTGAGGAAGAGCGTGTGGAAGAGGCTTAAAAGAGTCATATAGGAACAAAATAGGCAGAGCCTGTGATGGGATTTTTTGGGACCAAAGGTCTTTTCTAAGTCAAACTTACAATCACCCCATCTCCTGATGTGAGTTATGTGTTGCCTGGCATTAAAACAAAACAAAACAGAGTGCAAAACTTCTCAGTCAACAATTGGAAATAATTAAAATGCAAATAGAATTGGGAGAGTTACTTAAAAGACTTACATTTATGATGAATTTGACTGAGATATGAATCTTTCTAAAGAGTAGGCTTTATTGTTATGTTACCTTTCAAAAATTATATTTTATTTTTTCCAATCAGCAAAAATCTGCCTTTTCACTCTATGCTCTCCCCACTCCCACCTCACATTGAGAACAAAAGAAAAACTAAACCCATTACAAATACGTATAATCAAACAAAACAAATTTCTACATTGGCCATGTCCAATTTTTTGTTAATTTTTTTTGCATTCTGAGTCCTTCACCTCTCTACCAGCAGGTGGGTAGCATGTTTCATCATTAGTTCTTGGAATTCATACTTGATCATTATATTGCTTTATTCCTGATTCTTTCAAAGTTGTTTGCCTTCACCATATTGTTGCCATTGCACAAATTTTTCTGTTAACTTCACTATGTATCAATTCATAAAAGTCTTTCCAGGTTTCTCTGAAACCATCCCCTTCATCATTTCTTGGAGCACAATAGTGTTTCATCATATTTATAATCTATAACTTGTTCAGCCATTCCCCAATTCATGGACACTCCTTCAGATTCCCATTCTTTGTCACCTCAAAAATAGCTATGAATATTAGAATTAGATTTGCTTAGGAATAATCCCTCCCTTAATCTGCCCTTCTTCTAATTTTCATACTTTTCCCTTTTTTCTCCTATTTCTCTGTTGAGTGAAATGTATTTCTGTATCCAGCTGTGTGTGTGTGTATGTGTGTGTATACATGTGTATTCTTCCTGCTTTTGATCAGCTCAGATGAATGAGGTTAAAGTGTCAGTTGCTCCCTCATCCCCCCTCCTCCTTGTTTACATAAATATCCACTTGTGCACCCTGATCATGTAAGTTAATTTTCTCTAATCTTCTTTTCTTTCCCCTCCCCAGTGTATTTCTCTTTCCTTCTTTCCATTCTTTTCTTATAATAAAGACATAACAGAACCACTCCCAGACCTTGTTTAAGCAGACTCTTTCAATGGACCCTGATGATAACAGGGTTCAGAGGGGAAACATGTATCGCCTCCTCATATTTGAAAGTAAACAGTTTATTCTTGTTTAGTTTCTTATCATTGTTCATTCATCTCTACCTTTTTATATTTCTCTTAATTTGTTTGTTTGAACTTCAAAGTTTCTAAGCACTCTGGTCTTTTCATCAAGAATGTTTGAAGTCCTCCGCTTCATTTCCTTTTTTTTCCCCCTTTGCAGCATTATACTCAGTTTTTCTGGGTAAGTTATTCTTGGCTGTAAACCTATATCTGTTGCTTCATGGAATATCATATTTTAAATTCTCTATTTCTTTATGGTAGTAGTTGCTAAATCAGGTGTGATCCTGACTGTGACTCCTTGGTACTTGGATTCTTTTTTTCTGGATGCTTGCTATATTTTTAATTGACCTAGAAAATGAAAGTGACTTGTGGATTCCACTTTGCTCTGGTTCTAAGAGATCCACACAGTTTTCTTAAAATATGATTTCTAGACTCATTTTTTTTTTTGGTCATGGCATTCATGCAGTACAATGATTCTTAATTTTTTTCTTGAACTTTCTTCCAGGTCAATTATTTTTGCTATGATATACCTTACATTTTCTTCTATTTTCCAACCTTTTGACTTCATTATAACATTTTTGTTTTCCTCATGAAGTTGTTGGCTTCTGTTTGGTTCATTCTAGATTTCAGGAGTTTGTTGATCAGGCAAGGTTTTGTACCTCTTATGCTAAGCTTTTATTTTTCTTTGTAGTTGTTTCTTCTATAGCTTTCATTTTTTTTCCTTAAGCACTCTCATTTCATGACAAAATATTTTATAATTTTTTAAAAAAACTTTGGTTAATTTCTTCCAGGAATTCTTGTTGTATTTATGTGCAAACTATGCTTTTTCTTTGAGGATTTGCTTGTAGATGTTTTGGAGTCATTATCTTCTTCTGCATTAATGTTTTAAGTTTCTTTGCTGCCACAATACCTCTTTATGATGAGATTCTTTTTTGTTTGCTTATTCTTCCAGCTTTCTTTCTAACTCCAGACCTGATGTTAGGCCTGGGCTCTGCTTACTTCTAGAGGGAAGGTCTGGGGTGGTCCTATTGCTGCTTTCTTAGGGATTGCCTTTTGTGTTATTTCATGATCTCAGGAACATTCTGGGGACCTTCAAGCTTTAAATGCTCCCAAAGAGGCCTGACCCAGTGCAAAATCTGATTTCTGACTTCCCACACCTACCTTTCCACCCCATCTGAGCTCTTCAAGCTCCTGGCCTGGATTTGAGTCTGAGCAACAGTAGAATGCTACTCACTCATCCCTTATCAGCTAGCTGGAAAGCTTTTTTGGTTCAGAGTGGCAGAATTACAGATTCCCTTTTGGTCTAGGATTCTTGCCCTGCTTATTCTCCTGTAGTCTGGGCTAGATGCTGGAACTCAGATTCTGCTCTTCTCTTTGTTTCTGAGCCATGGTGCTGTTGCAGGCTTCTAACCTTTCTCCTTTCTCGGTACACTGCTTTTGGACTCCCAGTCTGGGAACATTATCTCTAGAGCAGGTCTCCTCATTCCACCATGGATTTGTGACCCAGAACTAGGTGATGAGCAACAAAGTTGCCAGTCTGTACCTATCCCTGTCACCGTGCTTCAGTATGTGTCTGGTGGTATTCCAGTATGAGTCTGGAACTTCCTCTTAACCCACTTCACAGCCCCTTCCTGAGTGCTAGAGTGTTCTGAGTACAGGGTGCTCCTGAACTGACCCTATTTTCAGTGTCTGCAGAATTGTCTGTCTCTCAATGCTGACCTGAGTTGGGAGAATATTCTGGTCTGCTGTCTGATTCTCTTGCTTTTGAAATGCTGCAGGTGGCCCTGGTGGATGAGATGGCATCTGTTCTGAATGGCACAGGCCCTGTCTTGTTAATGCTGCTTCCTCTGTGCGTGCTTCCTGGATGCTCTGAAGACCTAACTTGGCAAGAGTTTATGAAGCAATACCATCTCAGCCTGGGCCTGGATTTCAGCCGTCTGAACTGTGAAGGTCTTATGGGTGCCATGGAATCTCTGAAGGGCAAAGCCTCCCATACTTTCATCTATGCTATTTGGAGCCAGATAGAAGATATATGCTATAGGGATGGGTTAGATCTCTATGAGAATGTGCGAGTATGGAGCAAGAAGCCCTTCAAAATCCTTACCTGCGAACGGTTGGAGTCTGGTCAAGGCTACAGGGGCACCAGAAGCTATAGCTATTTAGAGCTCCACTGTGGCCTGAATGGATTCCCTGTGAGCTTAGAGGACACCAAGGTGAAGAAGAAAATTTCAAGTTAGGGGGCTGTCTCTACTTATGCCACAAGCTGAAGTTCCTGGCTGGTAGAGGCTATTGGCCACCTGGGCTTATGTTTTCTTGTCCAGCCCAAGGATTGAACATTGAATAAGTTTACTGAAGTTAGTAGTTTATTTCTCAACAATGGAGAGAATCTGAGCCACCACATCACCCTGCCCTCTAATCTATTCCCCCCTCCACACACACACACACACACACACACACACACACATCTTTCCTTCACCCCCAGTCACAGAAGGAAGAGAGGATCGAAAGGCTAAGAAATAAGAACAGGGATATCAGACATCAGAAGTGCAGAGATTCATTCCTTACCTCATAAAGGTGGTGCAGGGTAGAGACCTTCATGAAGGAAAAGGATCCAGCAAGTTCTAATCAAGTCTTTCTCCCTGGGAGATATAAAGGCAGGAGAGGGACTTAGGATGGTTGGGGGAGACGGTGAAATGATTAGGAGAGAAGAGAATTTTTCTTCAAATTGGCTCTACCAATGTCTTCATGAGTTGACAGTTCTTCCTTTCACTGAATAAAATGTTCTTGCTTTCGCTTCAAGGCTTGAATATGTGCATGTGTTTATATGAGTTTGGGTTAAACGTTTACAGTCAAGACTGTGTTGTGTATGGTGGAAAGAGCACTGACCTTGTAGTCTGGATTAGAATCCCAGATCTATCATTTATTAGGTGTGTGCCTTTGGACAGTTCACTTAATCTCTCTTGTCTTCAGTTTCCTTCTCTGTACAACAAGGAGTTGGGCTAGATGTCTTCTGATTTCTCCACCAGTCCTATCTCTAGGATCCTTCAACCTACGTGAGACCCTAAACTGTCATTAGGAAGTAGTGAGGTGTGAAACAAAGCAAGAAAAGTCAGTTGGAGGCAGAAAAGAAGCCTAAGGCAGGGCCCATGCCATTCAGAACAGATGCCACCTGCAGCATTTCAAAAGCAAGAAAATCAGACAGCAGACCAGAATATTCTCCCAACCTAGGTCAGCATTGAGAGACAGACAATTCTGCAGACACTGAAAACAGGGTCAGTTCAGGAGCACATTATACTCAGAACCTTGGGTGAGTCACTAATCCATTTAGGACTTAATTTCCTCACATGTAAAGTGAGAGGGTTGGACTAGAAGACCTCTAAGGACACTTCTAGCTTTTTATCTATCATCCTATAGTTCCATGAGAATAGAAGGAGATGGGACATGTTCACAGATAAATAAAATATGAGTTATAACATCATAACTTTATAAGAGGAGTGCAAAATGCTATCACTCAAGAGATATCATAACTAGCTGCAGGAATAAGAGGAGTTTTCCTGGAGGAGAAGGCATTTGAACCAGGTCTTGAAGGATGTGTTAGATGCCAATGAAAGGAAATGGAAAGAGGTGATGGATGGGAAAGGCGGGCGAGGGGGAAAGAAAGATGTTGCCATTTCAGATTGCGTAAACTTCATAAACAGTTACAAAAGTAGGAAATTGCAGGATGTATTTCAGAAATATCAAAAACAACACACTTTTTATTGCAGCATAGATGAGGGGGAAGTGGTGGGATGTAAGACAAAGCAAGAAAGGTCAATTAGAAACAGAAAGAAAGCCTAAGGAGTTTCTTTTCAGGGGCCAATGGAAGTCCATCAACAAGCCTTGATGAAGGGGGCAACTAGGTGGCACAGTGCGAGCACTGGCCCTGAAGTCATGAGGACCTGAGTTCAAATCCAGCTTCAGACCAAACACTTGACACTTACTAGCTGTGCGACCCTGGGCAAGTCACTTAACCCCAATTGCCTGAAAAAACAAACAAACAAACAAGTCTTGATGGAATTAATTGGCAAAACTGACTCATTCTGTGCTGTTGCAACCTCTTTGTATCTGTTTCTTTGTTTATAAAAGGCAAGATACAGGCTACTTAATGATTTCTTGCCAAACTTTCAATATTATGTAAACTGAGCAGAAGTGCTGTACAGGTGTTATTCTGAGCCTTGAATGTACATGCTATGGTCCTACCTGAGGGTGGTGACAGTGTGGTTTTCTTTTTTAAGTACATAGTTATTTCAGATACATTAAAGATTACCCTCCACCCTCAATTTGGTACCTCAGTTCAGCCATCAATAAAGTAAAACAAAAATTTGAGACTGAGTAGCCTTCTTTATAGTCTAAATAATGATCCCGTAAACATAGGAAAGGCTTTGAAATTCATCTAGGTCAACCTTCTCACTTATACACGAAGACAACAAAAATAGAAAAGCAAAAGTAAAATAGCTTGCCAAAGTCTCAAGGTCAGTTGACTAGGTGATTGTATCCAAAGATTATCCAAAGTCTCCAGAACCAGAAATAGCTTTCCATATACCTGCCATTTTCATAGGTCCTCAAGGAACATGTGCATTTTTAATGCATTAGTTCATTATGATTCTCCAGTAAAAGATTAAACTAATTCTAATGCCTCATTAAGGCATTGAGCTGACCCTGAGTCTAGAAGGCTATGTTACCAGAAGGCAAACTTTGAGCTGTCTTATCAAACTGGAAAAAAATCAAGTAAATGCCTGATGAAGAATGGCATATCAGTCAAAAAAGACTAGCTTAGCTACCTTTAGAGGGGCTAATTAACAAGAGGTGGCTATCAAGTGAAAAGTTCTGACTATGGTGAGATGGAAAGATCAGTGGACTTGATCAATGGATCAGGATCAATGGAGTCAGGAATACCTTGGTATGAATCCTGCCTCAGATACTTGCCAGTTGAGAAAATCTACATCTCAGTTTCCTAATCTGTAAAATGAAGGAGTTGGATTTGATGGTCTTTAATTAGCTTCCAAATAGAAATCTATGATCCCATGACACAGAGCTGACTCACAATTAGGGCAAATATTCTGCGAAACGTTTGCATTATTTCAATTAGCACTGCATTTCCATTGAATTAGAACCAAGTGCTGTATTACTAATAATTGCAATTTGAATAGTGCAAATTCAAAAACATGCAACTACTTCACAGCATTCATTGTTGCAAGTAACTGAGACATAGCTATTAGTATAGCTTCTTCTACTAAGAATCTACATTAATGCAGAGAATATTCACACTAGTAAAATCATGAACCTTTTTGAATTATTGAAGTTGAAGAAGTTATGTTCATTGGATGGTTGACACATTAGCAAGAGACACGTTAGTACACATAACTTTATCTCATATGGACATTGTTTCCTGTCAGATAGGTTGGGATACTTAAAAACCCTAGCCCTATGGAAAGCTAAGTTTTGATGGAGAGAGAAGGAAGAAGGAAGAAAGAAAAAAAATATTGGACACATGAGATCCTTGATTTAACTTACCTCATAGGGTTGTTGGACAGAAAGCGTTATGAAAACCTTAAAGCACTATAGAAATGAAGGTCATTATTGCTAAAATAGGGAGCACCATAATGATCCTTTATGCTGAAGGTAAGGAACTCAAAGGAGAAAAGACAAAGATAAATTTTAACTATTTCATTATTTTGTTGAGGAAAATGTTGTTTGTTTATGTTTGTTCAAAAGGAGTAACAAAGAATTATCAGACTTGCAAAGGCAACATGGTGTTATATTTGAAGTATTTAAGAACAAAACACAAAAATATAGACTCATAGAATACCAAAAATGACAGGTACATTAGGAGTCATTCAGCAACTCCAACCCCTACCTGAGACAAAAATCCCCTCTGAACCACCTTGGATAAGTTTTCATGTAGCCTTTATTTGATGATCTCTAATGATGGCTACTTACTACCTGATAAGGAAGTGCATTGTGCTTTTGGGTGTAGAATTTAGATCTGATTGGGACCTTAGAGAGTCCAACTGCATTAATTTACAGATGAAGAAATTGAGGTCCAGAGAAATAAAAGTCAAGGTCACATAGGTAGAAAGTAGTTAAGATTTGAACATAGGCCCTCTGATTCCAAATCTTTGCTCTTATTTTCCCCTGTTGAACACTATTCTATAGTGTTATGATTTGGACATGTAGTGTTTATTTCTGCCTTCTGGAATTTATGTGGAATTTCTTTCTGTCTTACAATAAGAAATATTTTTAGCCTGTCCTGCTACATTTGAAAAAAATCCCCACTTTTCCCATTTAGCCTTCTCCATATATCTATAAAATTCAACTTGGCCAATACTCTGCTTAAATCTTTATCTTCTTTATAATTTACATTTTTGTTTATTTAAATATTCATTAATGGGGTATTAAAATCTCCCATCATTACTACTTTTCTAGCTAATTCTTTTCACTTTTGTTAATGTTTTAAAATTTCTATGCCATGAGATGTATCTTTAATTTAAATAAATAATAAATATTTTCATTACTGGAGGTACCTTTGAGCATGATATAATTTTCTTTTTTATCTCTCTTAGTGCTTTATAATTTTAATTGAATTTGTTTGAAATCTTCACCACAATTCCAGATATTCTAGTGTCATCATCTGGAACATAGCAAGTCCATTTTCTCACCTTCACTGTATATGTTTTATTTATACACTAGATATGTTTCCTTTAACAGTAGCTTTTTGGTTTTTAATCAATTCAAAAACCCTTTTTCCTTTTCCTTTTATAGGGCAGTCTAATATGTTTATATTAGGTTGTAATTGATAAATTTATCTATTCTTTATCATAGTTTAAACAGGTTTTTTTTTGTCCAGAAAGATATATAATAGTCATTATTTCACTAGGACTGTTCCTATTCCAGTGCTAACACACATGCTAATTCACACATCACTAAGTATAGTTCTTATCATTTATACTACTGGCCAAACTGGTTTAAAAAAGTCTTTCCTCAGCTCTCCTACTTTTTTAATCCCTTTAAATTTTTTTAAAAATCCTTTAGTTGTTAATTAAAATAGCACAGCCATTATTTATTGTCCTCCTGCAACAATTCTATTGAGGTAATACCTAGTTAAACACACTTGCAAAACTATTGATTTTCATGTATAATGGTTATTCCAGGTATCATTTAATTACATAATTGCTTGGATTCAATGTGGGGATAATAT